AGCATATGTTTCATGCAGCGGATGCCCCTCTAGCCACAACTCAGTACTGGGAAACTCTTGCATACCTACATGCATATGTCTTTGCTGTGGAGGAAACCAGAGCACAAACATGGGGAGAACATGCAAACTCCAAACAGAAATGCCAACTGGCTTAGCTGGAAATCGAACCAGAGACTTTCTTGCTGTCAGACGGCAGTGCTAACCACTGAGCCACCGTGCTGTCCTCTTATAGCACATCCTATCCAAATAAAAAAAAAATCAAAAGAGAAACACCTTCATTTTCTCATTCTTTCTCTCTCTTTTATTCTCTCGCACTCACACACACACACACACATTCAGAAGCACATTTCCTGTGGACAGGCCTGGGAATACTTTGCTTTGACTTAAACATCTGTGAAAGAGTTTGGCAGTAATTTCATTTTGAAGTAATTGCAGCTTCAAAGGCTGCTTGTAAATGTGACATGGACACACGTCCTTATTTAAGAGGTTGAACACACACACACACACACACACCCACTGTGGATAGTCCACACATGCAGCTCTTTGATTGTGAGATGTTGAATATTTAGATGTTCAGGGGAGGCAATGAAATAGACGGCTATAAAAAGGCCAGAGCCTGCAAGAACCCCTGCTGAATAAAACTGCGCTTCCATCTGCTTCCAATCTGTGTGTGCAGGGCAAATAAATGTGCATTCAGTACTGTAAGCCTTTGTTTTCTTGTTGGATTTTCTAAACTGGTTTGACCAATCTCTTTCAGAGCACACATCCTGTATAAAGTGCTTATATATTGTGCATAATTGCAGGTAAACATGGTCACATCAAAACATGTAGTCAGTATTGCGGGATTATTTGCGTGATTTTGTACTGCAGTTCTTAGAAGCTTGAGTTTTTAAGAGTAACAGTGGAAAATGTTGACTGTCCTTTCCTGGCCTCTACAGATTTGTGCTTTTGTTACCTGAGGGATGTGTGTGTGTGTTGGTGCTGGTGTTTGCGCATGAATATGTTAGGGAGGGTTTAAATGGGTCAGGTCATTGTGTGGAAGCAGAGAGGATTCTGGAAAGCTCTAAGGACATTACCTGAGCATGTTTTTATTGGGTTGTTGGGTTGCAGTTTTAAATTTAATATTGTTTGAAAAAAAAAAAAAAATATATATATATATATATATATATATATATATATATATATTTATTTATTTATTTATTTATTTATTTTTTTTTTTTTTGTGAGACAGGTAGACAAAACATTGGACAAATGTATATTTGGTATGTTTTAGAAATGCACTACATGTTAAAAAAATGCTAGGTTGTTTCAGGTTGTTACAAAACCTAGATTTTTAATGCCAAGATACTGTTATACTAAGCATAGTGACATAAATATTGAACATTAAAAACTTCTATTTACATATACACAATGCAATTCTTTTTCAAATATATCCCAAGTGCACATTTTCAAACATATTATTATAATAACTAATTTCTAATAATTAATTTCTTTTGCCTTTGTCATGATGACGTACATCTTCAAGTGCAATTTAAGGCTTAACTAGGTTAATGAAGTATGTGCACACAGACTTTTTCAATTCAGTCTTTCCATTATAAAATTGCCACGTTTATGGTCTGATATCTTTGAAAATCAGTGATCTTCACCGCCTGATAGATATACCATAAAAAGTGGGTCTCAGACTGGACAAAAAGCACTGCATTACATTCCATTTCCCCCCACCATGTCTTTAAAATATGATTGTTTATTTTACCCCAGTATTTTCAATGGAGTTTCTGTGATCCTGTTTCTGTGATCCTGTTTCTGTGTCTTTCATTTTGTTTTACGCTTGAACAACTAAATGAATGATTAAGTGTATTTAACTGAATGCATTGTAATTACATTACAACATCAATGCTGTAAAAGAAACCCTATGAAATTGAAAACAGTCACATTAAGCATTCACCGGAAGTTTATAATTGGCTGAAAAACACTAGCTGGGCATATACTCCATTAGGCTAACTAGGCAAGTAAAAATAAATCCCTAAAGGGCTAATAATATTGACCTTAGCAGTATTTACAATTCAGTCAAGAACATTCATTCATTTTCTTTTTAACTTAGACCTTTTATTAATATGGGGTCGCCACAGCGGAATGAACCACCAACTTATCCAGCATATATTTTAAGCAGCGGATGCCCTTCCAGCTGCAACCCATTACTGAGAAACATCCATACACACTCATTCACACTCATACACTACAGACATACATTAGCCTACCCAATTCACCTGTACCGCATGTCTTTATACTTGTTGGGGAAACCGAAGCACCCGGAGGAAAAACCATGCGAACAAGGGGAGAACATAAAAACTCCAAACGCAATCATCCGAGGCTTGAACCAGCGACCTTCTTGCTGTGAGGCAAAAGTGCTACCCACTGTGCTGCCCAGTCAAGAACAGAGATTTTCATTTTAAAGGTCCCATGAAGTGCTTTGAAATGTGCATTTGTATTCGAAGTATGATGTCATTTCAACTGAAACATAAAGAGAGGGTGGGACATAGAGTAGCTCCTCCCCCTTTTTAGAGTTTTATCACAGCTCTGCTGGTGAAAGTGTTTGAGCTCAAGAGCATCAAATAAAAAGCAAATGAGAAGCATCTTGAAGGGGACGGGGGATGTCAGATAGTAGAAAGCATTTGATTGTAGGGATGTCCAGATCCGATGATCGGAAATCAGGCCTGATCACGTGGTTTCAGACTCGATTGTAATCGCATGTTACCTCCTGATCAGGATATATACTGTATATATAGCGTTACGGTGGCGCAGTGGGTAGCACGTTCGCCTCACAGCAAGAAGGTCACTGGTTAGAGCCTCGGCTGGGTCAGTTGGCATTTCTATGTGGAGTTTGCATGTTCTTCCCGTCTTCGCGTGGGTTTCCTTCGGGTGCTCCAGTTTTCCCCCCCCAGTCCAAAGACATGCTGTTCAGGTGAATTGGGTATGCTAAAATTGAGGATTAGGTATAAGGGGGTATGGGTGTTTCCCAGTGATGGCTTGCGGCTGGAAGGCCATTCACTGTGTAAAGCATATGCTGGAGAAGTTGGCGGTTCATTCCACTGTGGCGACCCCAGATTAATAAAGGGGATTAAGCTGAAAAGAAAATGAATGAATGAATATATAGAATATAGCTTTATGCAAATATTATTGCAGCTGCACTGTCTTTACAAACATTAACAGACATGTGTATCTAAAAACATCTGAAAAGTCATGCTTGCTCTCTCTAATTAATTCTCCATCTGTTTAGTCCATCCATTATGGATGTTATGCAGATTAATGGTGTTTGTGTGTGGTTATCTTGACATCTGGCTAGGTGTTCTTGGAGCAGTAATTCTCAGTTAATCCATAACCTCCATAAGAATCACTCAGCACTCTCTATAAACAAGAGGAGATCAAGGCCATTACAGTACACAAAATATATCTCATGTGTGGAAACAAGGGGCTGCTGTACAATATTTCATATAAAATCAAAAGTAAATAAAAACTACTTACTTTAGTTTGACTAAAATAGTTTGACCTCCTTGGGTAATAATTCATAACCATTTAAATTAAACAATTTTACTCATTGTTGAATAAGACATGTTTGAGTGTGTTTGTGTGCAGTTGATGTACTGTATAGACAGTTGAAGTCAAAAATATTAGCCCCCTTTGATTTTTTTTTTTTTTTTTTTAATAATTCACATATGATGTTTAACAGAGAAAGCACATTTTCACAGTATGTCTGCTAATGTTTTTTATTCTGGAGAAAGTCTTACTTGTTTTATTTCAGCTAGAATAAAATCAGTTTTTAATTTATTTAAAAACCTTTTTAAGGTCAAAATTATTAGCCCCTTTAAGCTATAATTTATTTTTCCGCCAAACAGTAATTGGGGAAAAAATAAACAGGGGGGTCTAATAATTCTGACTTCAACTGTATATCCATTGTTTAACGTCACTTGAACTTTGTACTTAGCAGTCTTTTAACAATTTCCATATGATTGTGAACATATTTCATGTTTTCTTATTTTGTTTGATCTTTTTAATTAACATATTTTTTCGTAAATTTAATTAGTCTTAAATATTTTATTTAAAGTAATAACAAAAACACATTTCAAAATTCCAAGATAGTATTATATAATGGATAGTGGCATTATTAATATTTAATTTCCACATATTATAAAACTTGTCACATATAATTTTAATGTATTATGTCAGCAATATTCAATTAGTAAATAATAATATTATGTATATTTTGAGAATATAGTATTTTGCACATGTGATGGAACTTATACACTAAATGTGTTGCTTGTTTATTGACCTTTTTATATTTTATTTTTTAAAATACTTACAAGATAAAAGTATAATTTACTTGAAAGATATATATTTTATATGCCTAGACTTTATTGTCAAAACTAAAAAATATATATATATTTACAATTTGCATTAAATATAATACAGAATTATGTATAAATTAGTTTAACTCATTTTTTCTTTCTCTGTTTCTTTGTTTCTCTGTTCATACTTAATCGAATCATTGCAATAAAATACACCATGAATCAAATGTATGCATTTATATGTCTTTGACACCCCAGCAGCCCTTGGACATTAATATCACGTCAGATTGTTGTTGTACCCCAACGACATGGGATAATGAAATGAAAATCAGTTTTGATGTCAGATTCCAACATCAGGCCTACATCAATGTTCAATGTACAACCTAAAATCAACCAAATATCAACGTCTAATGACGTTACAGCTGGATGTTGTGTGGACCATACCACTATGACATCTATCAGACGTTAGATTTTGGTTCCCCTACCTGATGAATAAATGTCAGTATTTGACATAAATATGACGTTGGTTTAAGATGTTAGCTCAAATAGTACTATTTTTCCCAAAAGATGAAGCTTAAAAATAGCTAGCAACGCATCAATTGCTAGTTTATGTGTGCGTTAATGTAATGTGCGTGTGTTTTTTGTGTTTGTGTGCAGGTGAGCCGGAGTTTAAGTACATTGGAAACATGCACGGGAATGAGGCAGTGGGCAGAGAACTGCTCATCTATCTGGCTCAGTATCTCTGTAATGAATATCAGGAGGGCAACGACACCATCATTGACCTCATCCACTCCACACGCATACACATCATGCCCTCTATGAACCCCGATGGCTTTGAGAAGGCAGCTTCACAGGTAAACACACACAAATGTTGGGATTTCATATTTCTTAATGACTTTCCATAGATGTAACACAAAAAAATTGACCCCATACACACCATACACATACACATAGAATGCACTTATCACACTTTAAAAACGGCAAATGTTGCTCCATTACCATTTAAAGTTGAATCAAAATACCTTTACATGTCATTTTTACTTAGAATAAAGTGTCACAGCAAGAAAGTTGCCGGTTTGAGTCCTGGCTGGGCCAGTTGGCATTTCTGTGTGGAGTTTGCATGTTCTCCCATATTCGCGTGGGTTTCCTCCAAATGCTCCGGTTTCATCCACAGTTTAAAGACATCCAATATACGCGAAACGGATAAACTAAATTGTCCATAGTGTCTGTGTGTGTGTGTGTATGAATAAGTGTAAAAGGGTGTTTCCCAACACTGGGTTGCAGCTGAAAAGGCATCTGCTGCGTAAAACATATGCTGGCCTGGAATAGTTGGTAGTTCATTCCGCTGTGGTGACCTCTGAAAGAGACTAAGCCTGTCATGATCACCAGCAATCTAACCACTAGAGATCGCTGGAAAACATTCACACACACATAGGACTACAAATCTGCTTGTAAATGGACTACATATTCAGTCATGCCACATACACACACACACACACACACACACACACCTGCTCCAAGTCTCCACTGATTAGACTCCCACAGCTGATGCTGCTTCTGGACTGATTACTGCACTACATAAAAAGCACAGAAACACTCACTGTGGCTGAGTCTTGTTATCTGCTATAGTGACTCTACAACGCGTTTTCTTTGTTTGCTGTGTTTTGATCCTTTGCCTCGTTTATTTGTTTCATCCTGTTTGCTCCCTGCCTTGTGACCATCTGCCTGTTAATTGACTACGAATCTGGATTGCCCTCATACATCTGTTTGCTTCTGTATTGACCACTGCTTGCCTGACCATTCTAATAAATCTGCATGTGGATCCACACCTCTGTTGTCAGTGTCACAATCCCCTGGTTACAAAGCCGAAGGAAAATGAATGAATGAATGAACGAATGAGTACCCTGTTTCTTATTATTTCTGAATTATTTTTTATTTCTGCAGTTTTTATTTATTGTTAACTTTATAATCTAAACTTATTTCAGAAAATATGGTTTAATAAATTAATTTTAAAAAATAATAATTTTAATAATTAATAAATAATTAAATTACTAATAAATTATTAAAAAACTTAAATAAAAACATCATAACAACCCCATTTTGGTATCAGTAAGCATGTAATCTTTCAGCATACCATTGTTTTGTCAGAATGCAGGAGTGCTGATTTCATAACACATTACAGTGGTTCACCACATCCTCCTGCAGCCTGTACTCACACAAGTGTGGGCCTTGACATTTCAATGCTTGTTTGACATATTTACTGTATACAAGACATGCCTGGACTTTTAGTTTTACATTTGTTAAGGGGAAACCAAGAGATTATTAAACACCTCTCTGGGAGGTGGTTTACCACACTGCTTTACTGCATCAGCTGTAATATATGTCTGCTCAAACCGCACAACAACAATGAGAGCCTTTGTGATTGTTTCAGAAGTGCAAGATATATCCTGTTATGGCAACTAAGAGTGCAACTCTTGCATCAGAAATGTATAGTGAAAAAAATTAATTTATTAGGATATAGATGAAAACAAAATTACTCATCCTCCACTTTTTCCTACCATGTTTGAGTTTTTTTTTTCTGTTGAACACAAAAGAACAACTCAGGCTCACTAGAGATACATGGCCAGGGCTCTATTTTTGAGAACCAAGAAATTTGTACCCTGGACAATGACTGCTTGCAGTTTTAGTTTTTTTTTCTCCATGTCACAAATCCGACGAAATGCATTGTGAGCTACCAAGCAAACCAGTCACACCGAAAAAGCCATCCATACATAGGTAAGCTGTGAGTGGTTCCACTTGGTAGCATTATTTTAACAAACAAAATGCAGACATATGTACCCCCGGGCACATATTTCTCAGTTTTCAAAAATGTATCCCTGGGCACAATGTCCCAATGAGCCTGTGTTGCAACAGAAAGTATTTTAACCCTTAAAGACCGAGACAGCCGCCCGCGGCTAAAAATAAGTATTGCTCTTAAATGTTTAATAACTTTTGATCCGCTGATCCGATCCATACAATTCAAAGATTGGCATAAAGAAGAGAATCTCAGCTTTCCAGCGCTTTATCACATAACATTCGCGGACTTTCAGAGGCTCCGGAATCAGTGCGGTTACGTCATCAAATTTTGACAACGCTGATTTGACAAAGGAACGCTCGTCACTTGTCTCTCCGGACAAACCAGACATGATATATGGATGCATTGTCCCTCCTCCATGCCCAGATTGGTTCAAACTCGCTCTATCTCAACCAATAAGCATAGGTTTCGCTTTGTGAACCAACAATCAGCTATTTGAACAACACGGAATGAGAGATAGGCTGCACATTTACGCGCGGCTAAATAAAACGCTAAAAAAAGTTTTGCATGAAATAATTCTCATACTAAGTACTTTTGCATGCACAACAGCACAAAAACATGACAAAACAGTGACACAGCAAAGACGAAGTGCTGCTCTTGTTGTTTTCAAAGGACGCAAATAAAGGTTGGGCTGTTTGTCTGCATTGCACGCGAACCATATACATATCCGCAGACAACCATATCCATGCTGGCACATAAAACCTAAGGATGGTCCATATTGAATCTAGTTTAGTTATGTAACTATTTATAGTATAGTAAATATTTATATCTATTTTTTACTGAGGATTTGCACCATGTTAATTTGGACTTTGACGCATTATTTATTATTTTCTTATTTTATATTTGTTTATTATAAGTGGTGTTGTTTATGGTAACTAAAAATATATTATTTGGAAAAAAGTAAAATTTGCTTCAGTGTTCTGTTATTTTGTAACATTTTTTTTTTCTGTTTAGTTCATTCCCAGAACTTTTGGGCAAATACATTGTCAGTAAATAAATGCATTTTTTTCCCCCCATTGAAAAACGCCTTGAAATAACATTGAAATAAATTGCTATAACTTGCTCAGGGAAAGGTGGATGTAGACAAAATTTATTGTGGAAGTATAAAACATCATAATATGTATTTCTAAAGAAAGAAAAACAAACTTCATAAGGTTTTGTTTATAATAACTAGAAAATGCCACTTTTTTTAAAAATCGTTTCTGGAAAATTCTGGAATATTTTCTGTCTGTTCATATGTTTTTGGACCAAAAAAAGTTTTAGACTGGACCTTTAAATGATACAGATTGAAACTTCAGGTTCTCCTGTTTAAAATAATATATGACACTTGAGTCTGACTGCTAAAATAAAAATAAAACTGCTTTAAAAAAATAATAATAATATAGGCCCATTAGGTGCCCTCAAAATACCTCTAGGTCTTTAAGGGTTAAAGGATGCTGAAAAATCTTGACATCCATAATATTTTTCCTGCTGTGGAAGCTAATAGTTATATTTCCATCTAAAGATGCAAAGTAAATTTATTTATTTTAATAAAAAGCCTGGTTTATACTTTTGCTTCAAGAACGCGCGTAGCTGTGCATTTATACGTCTGCGCGCTGTCTCTGTTGGTCTGCATTACACTTCCGAAACGCTAGTTGGCAGTGAGGTGTTAATGTTCCTCTGTGTCGAGATTCTTTGCTGCTGTTTTGCTTTTCCTGAACACTTCTTGGATGTACAAGTGGCTCAAACTCGCTCATTTTGAGGCAGGAACCGGCGGACGTGCAACAACTTTAACTATGAGGTAAACACAAAACAAAACTTTCCATCCGGAGCTCCTTCACGGGACTCCACACTTGTAAACAATCGCTCCATTGGGCTCGCGCCCAGCTCGCGCCATTCGCGCGGCTCTCGGTTCCGCCCAGACTCGTCAGCGCTACCAAGCCGACCAATCACAGAGCTTGCGCTACTGCAGAAGTATAAATCAGCCTTAATGAGTCAAAGAGAACAAAATCATCACTTCCTGTTAAACTAGTGCCAAATTTCAAAAGCCAAGAAGTCATTGTGATCCTTTTGCTTATATATTAAATTACTTGTGCCTGAAAGATAGAAACGAAACATTATGAAGGCAGTCATAACTGGCCTTTGGAGGTGTGAGAAGGTCTACAGACGCTCAAGACAGTTCTGGAGGTAAAAATGATGACGATGATAATAATGATGATGATCATGATGAGGATGATGACTTTATTTGTCACATACACTTTAACATGTAGCGAAATTGGACCCCTACGACAATACACAAACATCACACATTTCAGGGGAAGATAGATCAGACAAGAGGTAGCCTTTAGAAAGAGGAAATAAGATACATTAGGGAAGAGGGAGGCAAAAAAAAAACCTTTTAGACTATCCTTGAAGTAGGGCAGTGTGAGATCAGGAGGAAAAAAAACCCAGCAACAAACACATAAACATAACATCCCTACAGGGGATGGGATTAGGGGATGTGGAGATTTTAAAAAAACAGCAATCTGGTCCTGCCGCTAGAGAGTGCTGGTCACAGACACACCTACCCACATCAGGGGGGATAAGCAAACAAAGGCGTGGGATGCGGGAGGAGGCAGTGATTGTCTGTCTGTAGCTGTGTATGTGTGTGTAGAGTCTCAACAGGTGTCTTTAATGTAATAATAATAATAATACTGAAGCACTTTGATGACAGACTTTATCTCAGGCATTTTAGAATGATCATTACAGATGTGCAATATGGTCAGTTAGATGGTTTGTCAATTATTTTCCATCCCATCACACCCATCAATGCTGTGTAAATTGGCTATGTGCTCCTGTTAAAAAAAAATCACATGATTTCTCAAATCTTTTTACAAGAGGGATGAGGCAGTGGCGCAGTAGGTAGTGCTGTCGTTTCACAGCAAAAAGGTCGCTGGTTCGAACCTCGGCTCAGTTGGCGTTTCTGTGTGGAGTTTGTATGTTCTCCCTGCCTTCGCATAGGTTTCCTCTGGGTGCTCCGGTTTCCCCCTATAGTCCAAAGACATGCGGTACAGGTGAATTGGGTAGGGTAAATTGTCCGTAGTGTATGAGTGTGTGTGTGAATGTGTGTGTGGATGTTTCCCAGAGATGGCTTGAGGCTGGAAGTAAAAACTGCTGCGTAAAAACTTGCTGGATAAGTTGGCGGTTCATTCCGCTGTGGCGACCCCGGATTGATAAAGGGACTAAGCCAACAAGAAAATTAATGAATTAATCTTTTTACAAGACCTGGAACCCTGTTTTAGACCATAATAAAGGTTTACCCTGTTCAGTTGATATCAGATCTGTAATCAATTGGAAAGAGGAAATATTGACTCCGTAATGTAAACTTTTCAAATGTTTTTTTTTATTGTTTTTTATTATATTTTCTTATTGTAAACTTGCTCATTTATTATTATTTTTTAGGAATTTCTTTTCATTTTTATTATATATATATATATATATATATATATATATATATATATATATATATATATATATATATATAATAAAAATATATATTATTATTATTATTATTATTTTACTTTTCTTTCAAAGGATTTGTTTGTTTATAATTCATACATTTTATTTATTTTATTTTGAGGGGATAGTGGGAAAATAAGAAAAATAAGACAATCTGTAATTTTTCCTATGTTGTATTGTATACTATGATGTATTGTCTTGTTAAACACCAAAAAAAAAAAAAAAAATCACAGGATTTTTTTGATGCGCTTGCTGGTGTTTATTTGGTAAATGTGTTTTCAACTTTCCTTCTTAGTTAATGTGCATTTTTCTTATCATTTCCATTAAGCATTTATTTATGCGCACATAAAAATACGTGGGTGGAAACATGGATAGTGACTGACAGCTTCCACCATTTTTCAAAATGTCTTTTTTTGTTTTTAACAAAAAAGAGAAGCTTGGAGCCACCTGGTGAAATATCTCTTTAAGTCGTTGATACAGGTTTTATTTGTACGCTCAAACGGTTGTAATGGTTGTGTTCAAGTTTCCCCTTTCAGCCAAACTCACTCTGGCATTTCCTGTAGTGTCTGCAAAACAACGAGTAACTCTTCAGTCTCAATCCTCTCAGTCTGCCTATGTTTAATCTGTGTTTTGTCTGGCCTGTCAAAAAACTGACTGGTTTTGATGGTTTGCTGCTCTCTCTTACAGGTCAGGTTTGTCTGTTGGCTGGTTTTAGAGGGGTTTCTGGTTCTTTTTCTTTGTCAGTCTGGAAGGTCACAGTCAGACAATACATCAGATTTCAGACCTCTCTGCCCGGTTTACAAATTGTGCTGCACAATCAAACACATGCAGAAGTGACACAGGAAATAACACGAGATCATGCATTAGGCAGAACTTCTCAACCTGTAAGAAACTTATATGATCCAGTAAACTGTCAGTGAGTGATAAAATAAAAGCTAAAATCCTGCATTGTGTTGTCACCACAGAATTAGCATTTTTTTAGAAGTAGAATTTTTAGCAGGCAGTATCATATCACCTAGGTCAGATGCAAAAACCAAGTTCCATCTGAACTTATCTGAAGTTAGCATTTTTCTCAGGCTCCAATGTTCATTTATTTTATTTTATTTTTTTTCCGGCTTAGTGCCTTTATTAATCTGGGGTTGGCACAGTGGAATGAGTCGCCAACTCATCCAGCATATGTTTTTACGCAGTGAATGTCCTTTCAGGTGCAACCCATCACTGGGAAACACCCACACTTTCTTACATTTACACACATACACTACGGACAATTTAGCTTACCCAGTCCATCTGTATCGCATGTCTTTAGACTGTGGGGGAAACAGGAGCACCTGGAGGAAACCCACACAAACACGGGGAGAACATGCAAACTCCACACAGAAATGCCAACTGACCCAGCCAGAGCTTGAAACAGCGACCTTTGTGGTGTGAGGCAATTGTGCTACCCACTGCGCCAGTTATTTAACTTATATAAAGTTATTTCATTTTATACATTAACTAAAATTACATAATGGACCACTATTTTAGTGTTACCATTTTTTTTATCACAGCCCTTTATTGAAAGCTATATGCAGTATGTAATAAATAATCAGTTACACTACTTAAAAAAAAATGTAGCAAGATTGTGATCACACAGTTCCTTTCCAGAACAATGCAGAGGGGCACTTGAGTGAAAATGAAGTCATTTAAATACATGAGGTCAGATAGCAGATAACAGATATCATTTTTTTAGCTTTTGCGAGTGATGTTGATTTAAAAAAAAGAATACATGAAGGCCATGTTAGTTATTCTTGTGCAAAAAAAAAAAAAAAAAAAAAACACAAAAAGCATAAATACACACAGCCTGTTTGTGATAAGACTTGCTACAGTTCCTATTGAGAATAACATAGAGGGGCAGAGAGGTTCAAGTTATTTCTGTTTTATTCATACTGGTCACTAGACTCTCACAATCTCCACATTTAAGTTACTGAAGAAAATACATCAGTTATGTTCAGCTGGTCAGCAAAGAGGATAATGAAGATAAAAATGGACAGATGGTTCTAACCTGAAGACATGAAACAAACTTTGTGGCAATATCTGGATTATTTGTGTTTTTCGAGATGTCCTGTGCTAATTGACCTAGCCTTTATCACTGTATGGAATACTATAAAATAGCATGATTTCCCCTTACGAAAAATGACGGCAGTTTTTTTTAAAGCAATACTGCGGTTTTAGTTAACTTGAAAAGTGCAGTTTTTTGGACACAAAAAAAAAAAACTGCATTATTTAAGTATATTGCAGTATTACTGCAATACAACTGAAATACTACAATGCAACCAACTGCAGTACATCTACTGCAATACAACTAAAGTAGTACTACAGTAGGCTACAAATGAAGTACCTCTACAGCGATAGTAGTGATACTACTACTATATTGAATTACAACTACTGCAATACAACTGAAGTACTATTACAGTACAACTGCCACACCGCTATGGAAATACAACTGAAGTACTTCTACAATACAACTGCAGGATAACTACTAATTTTCCTGCTCAGTGGACATTGGTTTTCAAATGAGGTTTTAATACTTAAGATGTATTGCTAAAGTATACCACAATATATCGTATTGCACCTTTCAGAAGTGTAACTACAGAAATTCATCTACATCTGCAATACATAATAACACTAGTGCAATCCATTATATAACATTTCACTGTATTGTCTCTCTGCTTTTGAACTTTATAGTACTGTATTTGAACTGTGTTCATACTTCATTGATTTGGAGTTTTGAATTGTACTTTTCAGTACAATATCTTCATTCTGTGCTATTGAATCATGTCTGGTCACAATAATGAGTTATTTCAAACACTCTGCTGGTGTTATAAAGTGAATTTAAAGTAAAAGTATGTCAGTAAAGTTTACCTTTGTAAAACTATTACACACTGTAATGATTTATTGCACAGAACAATTTGAGATATTATCATTATTAATATAAATGAACATAAAACAAATGCTGGAATAGTAGGTGGTTTATTCTACTGTGGCGACCTTTGAAATATAGACTAAGCCAAAGAAAAATGAATAAATGAATGAATGAATGAATAAATATATGAATGAATGAATATATGAATGAATGAATATATAAATAAATATATGAATGAATGAATAAATATATGAATGAATGAATAATGAATAAATATATGAATAAATATATGAATGAATGAATAAATTAATATATGAATGAATATATGAATATATAAATGAATTAATATATGAATTAATGAATTAATAAATTAATATATGAATGAATATATGAATATATAAATGAATTAATATATGAATTAATGAATGAATGAATATATGAATGAATGAATATATGAATGAATGAATAATGAATGAATGAATGAATGAATGAATGAATGAATGAACGAATGAATAATGAATGAATGAATGAATGAATGAATGAATATATAAATGGATGAATGAATGAATAATGAATGAATGAATGAATGAATATATAAATGGATGAATGAATGAATAATGAATGAATGAATGAATGAATATATAAATGGATGAATGAATGAATGAATGAATAAATAAATAAATAAATGAATGAATGAATGAATGAATGAATGAACGAATGAATGAATGAATGAATGAATGAATGAATGAATGAATGAATGAATGAATATATAAATTAATGAATGAATATATTGCCCACACTAGTGTGTCATGGAAATGATGCAAAAATGTTTATTTATTTATAATTTTTTAAATATTATGATTATTCTGGTAATAAAACATTTTTCACAATAAATATGTGCAGCCTGGTGAGATGAAGGACTGGTTTGTGGGCCGCAGCAACGCTCAGGGGATTGACCTGAACCGCAACTTTCCAGACCTCGACCGCATTGTCTACATGAACGAAAGAGAAGGAGGAGCAAACAACCACCTCCTGAAGAACATGAAGAAAGCTGTGGATGAAAACACCAAGGTGAGACACCTCAGATGTTTGTCAGATACTGCAGCTTGCATGGCATTACACATGCTGTTACACATCTTAAGCATCAGAGTCGGTTTTGGCCCTGTAAAAATGAGTTTTTTGACCTGTGTGTGTTTGTTTCAGCTGGCTCCAGAAACTAAAGCTGTTATTCACTGGATTATGGACATTCCTTTTGTCCTGTCAGCCAATCTGCATGGTGGAGACGTGGTGGCAAACTACCCATATGATGAGACACGCAGTGGTGAGAAATATATAATAAATATAATATAATATAATATAATATAATATAATATAATATAATATAATATAATATAATAATATAATATAATATAATATAATATAATTTAATATAATATAATATAACATAATATAATATAATATAATATAGTAATGTAATATAATATAATATAATATAATATAATATAATATAATATAATATAATATAATATAATATAATATGGCATAACATAATATTTGTAACTATAAATATAATTTTGAACAAATATAAAATCTAAAATACAATTTACATTTCGAATGATACAACATTTTGTAATTATTTTATTTAATTCATCTTTAAATTATTATTATTAATGATAATTAATGATTATGTAGGTAATATTTACCCTGAAACTCTTTTAAACACCTTTTTGAATCATTAAACTTCGTTTGACCCATAAATGAACATTTTCAGAACATTTTACAACCAAATAAGATCTTACCCTCCATGTTAAGATAGAATAAAAAGTGTTTTCTTTCTGTTTGTCCGTCAGGCTCTACTCATGAATACAGCGCTAGTCCAGATGATCTGGTCTTCAAGTCTTTGGCTAAGGCTTACTCCATCTATAACCCAGTGATGTCTGACACAAACCGGCCACCTTGCCGCAAGAATGATGATGACTCCAGCTTCAAAGAGGGCATCACTAATGGAGGAGCCTGGTACAGTGTGCCTGGAGGTACAGAACACAGCTTCATCTGCTGTACATCTATATATTTATAGATTATATTGTCCTCAGCGGAAGTCATTTTAGGTTGATCAGTGACCTATAAATTAAGCAGAATCTTGAATAGTAAGGGGTTGGTATCAAGTTGGATACTTTTTAGGCACAGACCAAGTTCGCCCTATACAATCGAGTATCGAAAAATGTCTTGTAACTCGGTACCAAGTTTAATACCTAAAATGGATAAATCCCAGCAGTGTTAGTGAACCAAGTGTGTACACTGCAAACTGCAAAAGCTTTTCTTACTTAGATTTTTTGTCTTGTTTCTAGTTCAAATATCTAAAAATTCTTTTATCAAAAAGCATTTTCTAGGCAAGCAAAACATTTTGTCTTGTTTTCAGAAATAATACACCTATAATAAGTGAGTTTTTCCTTAAAACAAGTTAAATAGTCTGCCAATGGGGCAAGCAAAATAATCTTGTTTTTCCTTTTGACATAAGAATATTTTGCTTGCACCATTGGCAGATTAGTTTGCTTGTTTTTAGGAAAAACTCTTAATTTTGGCATATTATTTCTTAAAACAAGGCAATATGTTTTGCTTGTCTAAAAATTATTCTTAATTTAAGAAATTTTAGATATTTGGACTAGAAACAAGACAAAAAATTTTTGCAGTGCATGACAGCAAATCTGTGGCATAAATATTGAGCAACCACTGATGCTGACACACAAAGTGACTTACTTCTTTGTGAGGATATGATGTATACTTTGAAACTACTGTAAATTCAAGTGAAACCCCCTCTATATTCTTTATTCTGCTTTTGCTTTTGTTAAAGGGAAAAAAAGATTTATTATGAAGAGAAAAAAGAGATTTGATATGTAATCTAATTTTATGAAATAGCTATCTAAAAAATTAAAATCTTAGTACAAGCTATAGAAAATCTAACGAAAGTACAAGAAATTATTCTGAAAGCTACAATTGTTATTTGACTAACAGGTGTGTGAATGTTTGCATATTTAATTAATCACATTTAAATTGAACATATGTTGAAATACAAAAATTTATTTGAGATTCAGTGCTAAATGAATGAATGTACAAAAAAGCCTATTGCGCCAATTTGGGAAACCACCTTAAACCAAAGGTTTTAATTTGATCTTTTGACTTAACAGGGATCTATTCTGCCCCTTTTCACAAGACGTAAAAAAGTCTCTAATGTCCCTAAAGCATATATGTAAAGTTTCAGCTCAAAATATCCCACAAATTATGTTTTATGACACTTTGAAACTGCCCCTTTTAAGTATTGATTCAATTTCGTTTTATTTTGGTGACTTTTGGTCGTTTTAAATTCAAGTGAAATTGTGCTGTTTCTAAAAGAGGGCAGAGCTACAAATGCATAGCATAGTGGCTGATTCAAAAACAAGTCTAACGCCCAATGCTAATGAGAAAGAGATCATTACTAATGTTCGGGGTTTCCCCCTCTTAGTACATGAACAAAGTGAGAATGTCAATCAAAGTGTTTCTGCAGACAATAATTAATAAAATTTAAGCATTTTTACCATTCGACTCTGGTTAGATTCCCACACTGTTGTAACGCAACTGTGCTTAAACTCCTTATAAAAGTGATACACTTTAAAAACACTCTACACTCTGAAACACTTCAATTTTTACGCAACAAATTTGTCCACAAATGTGTCCACAAAACCCTTAACAAATAAACACCAAAAACATTGTTGGCTGACTAAATCCTACAACTGTGCATATTCAGGTGAAACATACAAATTAAAACATATCTAGGCATTCATCAAGAGCCTAGATGTATCTCATTTTTAATTGCTTTTTGATAAAAGCTAAATAAATGAATGTAAATGGATTGAGAATTCTGTTTATGGTGAAGAGAAACAATAAAGGTGGATCTTATAATAGCACATCACCCAGTAACACACGGTATTTCTAGTGATGTTTGATCAATTGGGAATCGGTAAGGCAGAAAAATGTGATGAAAATGGGGAATTCATTTGTGGAAAGCATGTAGAGAATTGTGGGGAGGGCCTGAACAGTGCTGTGCTGGGATAAATCTGAACAGCATCTGCATGTATGAATTCCTGACCTCAAATCCCCACAGCCACACTCCGACATGCAGCCGAACGCTTTCCTGGAAGCTCTTATAGCAGCGAAAGGGGGATTATTGCAGATGGATTTGAAATCAAATGTGCAGGAAGCCACACACAGTTTCCTCCACTAATATTGGCGCCTTTGATTAAATATGAGTGAAACATGTCTATATTGTATAAGCTTTTACTCAGGAGCTAAACATTCTGCTCTGATTGAGAACAATTACCAACAATGGTTTTGTAACAATGCTAATAATTCATTCATTCATTTTCTTTCGCCTTAGTTCCTTTATTCATCAGGGGTCACCTCAGCGGAATGAACCGCCAACTTATCCAGCATATGTTTTACACCGTGGATGCCCTTCCAGCTGCAACCCAGTACTGGAAAACATCCATACACTCTAATACAGTTTATTCAGCTGACCTATAGTGCATGTGTTTGGACTGTGGGGGAAACCTGAGCACCCGGAGGAAACCCACGCCAACACGATGAGAACATGCAAACAACACACAAAATTGCCAACTCATCCAGACGGGACTTGAACCAGTGACTTTCTTGCTGTGAGGTGACACTTCTAACCACTGAGCCACCATGTCACCCAAATAATAATAATAAAACGAAACAAAACACCTTTATGAATTAATTTAAGCATATCATTTATAATAATATAACACCTGGTGATCAAGAACAGGCTTCAACCCTTACTTCCTGTTTCGTTTCACAGAAATAAAAGTTAAAGGGAAAATTTATCCAAATTGAGATTAATCTGCTCACCCTCAGGACATAATATAGGTGACTTTTCTTGATTAAAGAAGATTTATTTATCATGATCTGTGGTCCATGGTGATTCTTATAATGCAAGTCAATGGTGACCCATTTTCAAGATTAAAATAAACACACACTTACAAATCCAAATCAATCCGCATGGCTTCTGACACTGAGGTCTTATGAAGCAAATCAATTGGTCTGTGTAAGAAATTAAGCTCACACTTTATTTTGATGTTCCTTATGTTGAATATAAGTTACATTGCATCTACATGCCAACTAATTCTCATTAGATTATAAGTAGACTGTTAGGTGTGGTGCACAAGAGTGCACAATTAAAACTTTTTGTACACAGTTATACATTGCTAATTGGTGTTTTGTATTTGCGAAATATAAACATTTGTGAAACTTAATTGTTTAATGTTCAGTTTATTTAAATTGGAAACATATAATAAGTTAACTTAATTCCTTCATGTTGTCTCAACACAAATCGTAAGTGTGGAACTCAGCATTTATTTACAGTGTACATTGTGTTTTTGTGTGAATTACTATTGAGATGATTCTAGCTCCATTAGGAGGACTGCAGAGGTTTGTTGGGTCTGTGGGTTGGAAGGTCTCCAAAACTGCAATCTGACATCACAGGCATTAAAACAAACCGTTTGACAGGATATTCAAAAACAAAAGATGTGCAAATGTTTAAAAGTTAAAGAATATTTTTTGTTGCAGCCATCTTTTGCTCGTCTTCACCAAGGGTATCAATTTTAGTAGAGCACAGCACACTATATCTTTAATCATGGAGGACATGTGAGTTGATGAGTTACCAATCCTCAATCTCTCTCTTTCTCTTTCTTCATCTGTCAGGTATGCAGGACTTCAACTATCTGAGCAGTAATTGTTTTGAGATCACTCTGGAGCTCAGCTGTGACAAGTTTCCACCCGAGGACTCACTTAAACAGTACTGGGACCAGAACCGCAACTCACTGGTCAACTACATAGAGCAGGTACAGTTGCAGTAAGAGTTGAGTGTGTGCTTGAAAATGCTGACAGGAAGATGTTTTGTGTACTGTGAAGCTCAGACTCAGGAGTCAGGATTAGACGGGCTGCTTGATTTTGATCCGGTTTGATCCCTGATGTCCTTCACAGGTTCACAGAGGAGTGTCAGGATTCGTTCGTGATCTGCAGGGAAACCCCATCTCAAACGCCTCTGTTTCTGTTGAGGGAATCGACCACGACATCACCACAGGTACACACACAACACAGCAGCACTACTATCATCTCAGAGTATTTATGATTATGCCATTTATTATATGTATTTGTTTGTGTTTATGCGTATATATATATATATATATATATATATATATATACATATTATATACAGTTGAAGTCAGAATTATCACCCCCTTTGAATTATTATTTTAAATATTTCCCAAATGATGTTTAACAGAGCGAGGAAATTTTCACAGTATGTCTTGATAGTATTTTTTCTTCTGGAGAAAGTCTTTTTTTTTCACATTTTTAAAAAACTATTTTAAGGACAAAATTATTAGCCCCTTTAAACTGCTTTTTTTCATAGTCTACGGAGGAAACCATCATTATACAATAACTGGCCTAATTACCCTAACCTGCCCAGTTACCCTGATTAACCTGGTTAAGCCTTTAAATGTCACTTTAAGCTGTATAGAAGTGTCTTGAAAAATATGTAGTCAAATATTATTTACTGTCATCATGGCAAAGATAAAATAAATCAGTTATTAGAGATGAGTTATTAAAGCTATTATGTTTAGAAATGTGCTGAAAAAATCTGTTAAACAGAAATTGGGGGGGGGGGGGGGGTTAATAATTCTGACTTCAACTGTATATGACAATGTATAATTGTTATTACTGTCATTTCATAAACATAAAACACTATTTTTATGTTATAACACATTTTTTAGGTGAATTAAATAATCCGATGTCTAAATAATAGTGTTTTCTGTTGAGCTTATTTTTTGGCCAAAATTAAAGTAGTTTTATAAAAATACATTTGCCAAATACGAAATGTTATTCTCTTGTTTATTAATCTGATAATAATTTTTATACTGCTTTCACTATATGTATAATGAACTGCATTAATTTATTGGAACTACATCAGTATTAAAACTTGTACAGTATTTACAAAACAGACACTCACTGGCCACTTTATTAGGAACACCTTACTAGTACCGGGTTGGACACACTTTTGCCTTTAGAACTGCCTCAATCCTTCCTATTCTTAAGTGAAGTATTCCTCAGAGATTGTGGTCCATATTGACATAATAGCATCACATGCACATACACATCCATGATGCAAATCTTTCATTCCACCACATCCCAAAGGTGCTCTATTGGATTTAGGCCTGGTGACTGTTGAGGCCTTTTGAGTACAATAACTAACTGTCATGTTCAAGAAACCAGTCTGTGATAATTCATGCTTTATGACATGGCGTGTTATCCTGCTGGAAGTAGCCATCAGAAGAAGTGTACACTGTGGTCATAAAGGGATGGACATGGTCAGCAACAATACTCAGGCAGGTTGTGGCATTGACATGATGCTCAAATGGTACTAATGTGCCCAAACTGTGCCAAGAAAATACTCCCCACACCATTACACCCACCACCAGCAGTCTGAACTGTTTATCCGAGGCAGGTTGGATCCATGATTTCATGTTGTTGACGCCAAATTCTGACCCTACCATCTGAATGTCACAGCAGAAATCAAGACTCATCAGACAAGGCAACGTTCATCCAAACTTCTATTGTCCAGTTTTGGTGAGCCTGTGCGATTGTAGCCTCAGTTTCCTGTTCTTAGCTGACTGGAGTGGCATCTGGTTAGCTTAAACCAGTCTGGCAATTCGCCTCTAACCTCTGGCATCAACAAGTGCATCCACAGAACTGCCCCTTGCTGGATATTTAATTTTTTTGGGTTTATCTCTGTAAACCATAGAGGTGGTTGTGCATAAAAATTTCAGTGGATTTAGGAGTTTCTGAAATACTCAGACCAGCCTGTCTGGCACCAACAACCATGCCACGATGAAAGTCACTTAAATCACCTTTCTTCCCCATCCTGATGCTCGGTTTAAACTGCAGCAGATTGTCTCGACCATGTCTACATGCCTAAACACATTAAGTTGCTGCCATGTGATGACGGGCTGATTAGAAATTTGCGTAACGAGCAGTTGGACAGGTGTACCTAATAAAGTGGCCAATGAGTGTTTATAAAAATTTTTATATATTAATATTTTTTAATTAATTTTCTATAATTAATTAATGTACATAAATATTCTAAATAAATACTTGAAACATACCTTTTCAGTTCTTCATAATCATATATATATATATATATATATATATATATAGTATTTGACTTTGAGATGTTAGAGTATATAATTTTATATCATAAATCTTAAAAAATAATTGAATACATTACTAAATAAGTATATATGAAAAGCTTTTTTTAACATTGTAAAAAACATTTAAAGCAGGCTTTTCTGTTGAAAATTTAATGTGTAAGTCTGCCCTCATGTGGCCATTTTTGGAATTGAAATTTTTCCTTTTTTCTTCTTCTTCTTCAGCTAAAGACGGTGATTACTGGCGCTTGTTGGCTCCTGGAAACTACAAAGTGTCTGCATCTGCTCCAGGATACCTGACTGTGGTCAAGAAAGTGGCCGTTCCCCACAGCCCCTCCACACGGGTAAATACAGACCCTCATTTCAGCTTTCTCTTCCTCTTCTCATTTAGATCTTTCTCTCATGGCTCTGCTTTTCTCTCAGCTGGACTTTGAGCTGGAGTCTCTGGAGGAGAGGAAGGAGGAGGAGAAGGAGGAGCTCATGGACTGGTGGAAGATGATGTCAGAGACGCTCAACTTCTAACTCAAATACATCACAACAGTTTATGGGTGTAAAATATTTATTGTTGTCGTGTGTGTGTGCTCATCAACTTAAACAGCATAAAGTTTTTTTAGGGATCGTTTTACGCTAGAGGCACTGCGTCCAGACTTATTAACATTAGACATTTGCACATTCAAGTGGTCCTTGATTATGATTTCATTTTTTAATCTAAAACTGGGGTGTATTAGGGTGACACGGTGGCTCAGTGGTTAGCACTGGCGCCTCAGAGCAAGAAGATCACTGGTTTGCGTCCCGGCTGGATCAGTTGGCATTTCTATGTGGAGTTTGCATGTTCTCCCTGTGTTGGCGTGGGTTTCCTCCGGGTGCTCCGGTTTCTTCCACAGTCCAAACACATGCGCTATAGGTGAGTTGAATCAACTAAATTGTCCGTAGTGTATGTGTGTTAATGAGTGTTTATGGATGTTTCCCAGTACTGGGTTGCAGCTGGAAGGGCATCTGCTGTGTAAAACATATGCTGGATAAGTTGGTGGTTCATTCCGCTGTGGTGACCCCTGATGAATAAGGTGACTAAGCCGAAGAAAAATGAATGAATGGTGTGTTTTATTGAAGCTTGAGCATAAACAACAGACTGCTATTAATTTTATGATGCTCAAAGGGAGATACACTAGAAAAAGTGATTCATTTTTTTAAAAGTAAGTAAACCCGCTGCCCTAAAAGTGAGTAATCCCATTGTACCTTGGAACTGTTAAGTTGACTTAACTTAATTTTTATAATTATGCATGTTGTTTATTTACTTAATAATTTTAAGCTGATGAGTTTACTCAGTTTTTTAAATAAAGTCAACTCATCGCTTTAAAGCAGTCCCTGCAGGCACAGGACATCAACATGACATCATATTGGCGTTGTACCCTAGTGTCGTGGGGATATTGGATTTTGTTTGGAAATGAAAATCAGGTTGACGTCAGAACCCAGCGTCAGGTCGATGTCAATGTCTAACCTAAAATCAACCAGATATTAATGTCTAATCATGTTACACATTGACGTTGTGTGGACGTTACCACTATGACATCTATCAGACCTTTGATTTTGGTCACTTTCCAACACAACCTAAAATTAACCAAATATCAATGTTATTTGACGTCGTTATTGGACGTCAAAAAAACGTTCTCAGATGCTGCCTAGATATTGAATTTTGATCAACTGACGTCATCACCTAAATCTAACCTAATATTAACGTCTAATGATGTTGTGTGCCTGCTGGGGCGTGTTTACTTTCCTTCTAAGTGATCTTTTTTATGGTGTATTTTCTTATGCAGACTATAGAAGAAATGGCAGGTAGGGACAACGGCAAGATTCTTCCTTTATGTAAATTTTAGAGTTAATGATGTCATAAACCCATTATAACATTACTAACCCTAAAATTTACATAAACCCTACCCCAGGTGTGGCATTTTCTTCAAACGTCCACTTGAGCAGCTAGTGAATCAGAACACACTAGGCCAGCTGAACAATCAGAGCCCATTGTGTTTTTGTGAGGGAGGGGCCTCAGAAAACTAGACAGTCAACAGACTTCCAGAAGAGAATAGATACGGTAAAAAAACGTAAAATATGTTAAATATATTAACCAAAGGGCGTCACGGTGGCGCAGTGGGTAGCATGATCGCCTCACAGCAAGAAGGTCTCTAGTTCGAGCCCCAGCTGGGTCAGTTGGCATGTTCTCCCCGTGTCCGTGTAAGTTTCCTCCAGGGTTTCCTTCAAAGACATGCGCAATAGGTGAATCTGGGAAACTAAATTCTCCGTAGTGTATGTGTGTGAATGTATATAGGTGTTTCCCAGTGTTGGGTTGCAGCTGGAAGGGCATCCGCTGCATAAAACATATGCTGGATAAGTTGGAGGTTGATTCCGCTGTGGCAACCCCTATCCTTGTAAATATTTATGTTTTACGCTAAAGATATGCAGGTCTGATGAAGTGCTGCTAATGTAAAGGTGGTCCTATTGCAAGTTTTATACACATTGTGTATCATTACCACATATAAGAAATGAAGATATCTTGGGGGATGTTTAACCAATCTGTTCTTCATTGTGTTTAACATTGATATTGTGAGGTTTGTTTTATTTTTTTACTATGGTTTATTTGTAGCTAGGATCACCAATCTCACCAACCAATCAGAGAGCACTGTGTCGTGATGAATGTACGTGTCAGCAGTTTATTCTGATTATGAAAGCACTCATTTACACCCAATCACACGTCTCTTTCTGTTCAAACTCTGTGTGGGTTTCTGCTTGATGTTTTGAACGGGAGTGCTTTTGATAAACCCTTCATTTGCTGATTCTTTAACACTTACAGCTTTGATTATCGCATCAGATAATGAAAAAAATGGAAGAGGTTATCAACTGAACTCCTACCTTGTGTTATAAGAACTATATAGGAAATTAAATAATTATAAACATATGATAGATTATAGCTATAAATCAGTATTATTTATATTTGTTGAGCAGAAAGTTTCATTTCAGATCATATAACAGCAGATTTTAACAGCACAAACTAAACGAATAGAGGTTATTTAGATCTGGTGGTTTTGTAATCTATACCAAAATGCACAATCTGTGATGAAGTACTATCTGCAGTCTTTATTACACATTCTGTAATATTTATTGTAATTTTTGTCTGTTTAAGTATCTTTATAAGTAGTGTTTTTGTTCTGTATTATGAAATGGCACGCTAATGCTACATCAATCATCGTTACGATCAAGTCTATAGTCACAATTTCTCATTGTTTCAACAGTTAATCCTCTGATTTTTGGGATGATCATGCTCATTTTGATTAAACTAGAGGCTTAAACCTTAACTATTATTAGCATTTCAAGCCAGCTTATATATTTCTCCTTTGAAACTTCAGTGGTATGTCTTGTATATGAATGTATCGAAGGTTTATTAAATGGAATGACGCAATTCACAACCAAAATAAACTTCCCTTTCTGTTGTCAGTCTGTTTGCCTTTCTATAGGATTAACCACTGATGTCAAAAGAGTTTTGTTTGAACTGTACTGCAGTAGATAGTAGAGTCTAAGTCTGTCACTTTCAGTAGTTTTATAATTCATGTTCAGTCGATATGACTAATAATAATAATAATAATAATAATAATAATAGTTATTTAAATTTATATAGTGCTTTTCTAGACACTCAATGCGCTTTACACATTTTTGTTAGGAATCTCGCATCCGAAAGCAGTATTGAGCTGTATAGAGTCCCCATCAATATACTGGAGCGTTAGGACGCACACAGACTGCAGGTTGAGCGCCCTCTGCAGGTCTCACTAACAACACTTCCAGCAGCAACCTAGTTTTCCTACGTGGTCTCCCATCCAGGTACTAACTGGGTACAACGCTGCTTAGCTTCAGTGGGCCAGCCGTATAATAATTTAACATAATTTTTATTATGTTTCATTTATTATGTGTATTATGTATTATTTTTTAAATAATGTTAATAATATTATGTTATATTATTATGTTATAATAATATAACTATTTTATTGAAGACAGAATGTCTCAGTGTTCCTGACCTACTCTATCTAATATTAACTGTTAATGTCTTGATAAATCTGTTTCATTTATTGCAGGTTACGAAATTTATTATTTTTTAATTACATTTTTTGGACTTTCTTATTAGATCATTTAGTTTAGTCAATTCTTTAAAGAAATATTTTGGTCACACTTTACAATAAGTTTTCAGTAGTCCATGTTAACATTAGATGATGCACTGTGAGTTAACAAGAACGATATACAAATATATTTTCATTACCTTACCTTAACAAAGATGAATAAATACTGTAATAAATATACTGTTTATTGTTTTTTCGTGTTAGTAAATACTAATATTATCTAATACAACCTTATTGTAAAGTGTTACCAATGTTTCTTTTTATTAATATGTATCAGTTTTACTATAGTTATAGTTTTATGGTTTGCTTTTGTTCCAGTAAATTCAGTATATAGATTGCTGATACAATACAAATACTATTATATTTAAGCATAAAACACAATAAAAATGTAGGATTTTTAATAATCATTTATTATGAAAAACTCTGGAAGATTTCTATTGTCGCATTTGCAAAATCTCAAAACATTATTATTTTAAACTCACTGTTAAATTCAATTAGTGAAAAAAACAAAACCAGTTGCAAGTGTCTGTTTTTTGGAAATTGAGATGTATACATGTACTAATTAAATAAGATTTTATATATATATATATATATATATATATATATATATATATATATATATATATATATATATATATATATATACTTTCTTAGAATAGGACAAAATACAATATATACAATTTGTCTAAAACACAACTATTTGAAAACGTGAAGTCTGAGCCCAGTTTTTCCAAAGTAATTCAGTGGGATTTTGATCACAGATTGGATCAAATCTTGGTAATGAGTTTCTCAAAAGTGACAGAGAGATATTGAAAAAAAGATCTGACCATGTAATCCAGTCTTACATTTGCTTTAGATCAAATCCGCCCTTTGTTTTATTTAAAACTTCAGATTGGGATCTATTTGATCCCCAAAAATAGAAGATTATAATTGTTATCTAGTTGTGATTTGTTGAATTAAACAATCCAAAGAAAAGAGAGTTGTATTTTTTAAGTAAATGATTACAATTTTAATGGTTACTGATGCTTTTTCATATTTGAAGCATGTTACTAATATCTAATGAGATATGGTAAACAACAACAAAACAATATGAACGCAGTATTGTATTAGACAAAAAAAAAAAAAGTCAAATGTTTGTTTGCAGTGTATCTGGTTCTTACCATTAAAAGAAAACAATGGCTGTTTGTGGCCACTGGTTTTTTGCCTACCTGTTGTTCTTTGCTAAGCCAGTAGGCTACACTGTTAATCTAAGATAGATCAGTTAATCATGATAGCAAAACATGGGATTTCTAAATCTCGACCAATTTGCTCCAAATCAAATGTTTTAGAAAAAAATGGGCCCTGGTGGTTCAAAAAAAATTAAATAAAATAAATAATAATAATAAATAAATAAAATAAATCTAAATACTGATATACTACTTGTTGTCCATATTAACAATGCACATTAATGGTTAAATTGAGCATTGATACACTAAACTAAAATGTTTTATATTTTTTCCAGACAGTATGTCTCTGGCAATGTAAATATTAAGCAAGTTTACATACTGTATGTCCAAAGGTAAAGTTTATTTTTAAGTTTTAATAGAAAAAGTCTCCACAATTTTCTCACACTCTAGTTGTTTTAAACTTTTCTGAAAGTCTTACACAAAATAAGACATTCTAAAAAAAAAAGTTTTTGGAATAAAGCAACAACTGACAATGATATAAGGTGAAAAAAGTCTATCAGTGGTCAATGGCTGTATTTATTGCTCCAACATTTCTCAGTACAGGCCCGGTTGGGGTTAGGTTTAGGATATAGATACTGTAAAATTCCAATAATTGAATGATGGAATAGCAAAAGTATTGTTGTAATAATATTCCTGTTTGGGCTTGGTTAAGAAGACATTATTTTAAGTCAACATGAGCACAAACATGTTTTTTAACAAAGAGTTATTTTTAAATCCAGTCAACATTCAGAATAAATAATGACTGGAATAAGCACACATTCAGCCATTATTATAGTCTTTAAAAAGTTAGAATGAAGATTGTGTAAACATTAAACATGCAAGTAATATGTTCAACAGAGAAATTGAGTGTGGCTGTATTCAGTGTGAGTGCTCTGTGTGTGTATAAACTATTACTGAATATCAGTGGCAGTATACAGTTCAAATCAGAATTATTAGCCGCACTTTGAATGTTTTCTTTCTTATTTAAATATTTCTCAAATGATGTTTAGGAGCAAGGAAATTTTCACAGTATGTCTGATAAAATTTTTTCTTCATGAAAAAGTCTTATTTGTTTTATTTCAGCAAGAATAAAAGCAGTTATTAATTAAAAAATCAAATCAAAAAGTCAAAATTATTAGCCCCTTTAAGCTATTTTTTTTCAATAGTCTACGGAACAAACCATCATTAGGAATAACTTGCCGAATTACCCTAACCTGCCTAGTTAACCTAATTAACCTAGTTAAGCCTTTAAATGTCACTTTAAGCTGTATAGAAGTGTCTTAAAATATCTAGTTAAATATTATGTACTGTCATCATGGCAAAAATAAAATGAATTAGTTATTAGAAATGAGTTATTAAAACTATTATGCTAAGAAATGTGTTGACATTTTTTTCTCTACGTTAAACAGAATTTGGGGAAAAAATAAACAGGGGGGCTAATAATTCTGACTTCATCTGCTTTATATTATGTTGAACATGCATAGGGGAATCTGATAATGAAGGACAAATGTCTCATTCTATTTATGTGCAGTCAAAGACAGAGTGCAAGCATGTGAGTCTACATAATTACATAATTAAACTATTTCGTTCAGAATTTAATTCAACTTAATTGAAATTGTCCTGGTATTTAATAAAAAACAAATTGACGTGTTAATTTTGTGTCTAACACATTGAATAGGACTATTTCATTTTAAAATATTTATTTTTAATTTATTTTTAATATGCGAACGACAGCAACATTAGCAGAACATTGTAAAACCTTCACGCACCTGTTGAAATCGGAAAAAAAAAAAATGGTGGCGCAGTAGATAGTGCTGTCGCCTTACAGCAAGAAGGTCGCTGGTTCGAGCCTTAGCTGGGTCAATTGGCATTTCTGTGTTTGCATGCCCTCAACAAAGGGTTTCCTCCGGGTGCTCTGATTTCCCCCACAGTCCAAAAACATGCAGTATAGGTGAATAAGATAAGCTAAATTATCCGTAGTCTGTGTGTGAATAAGAGTATGGGTGTTTCCCAGTGATGAGTTGCAGCTAGAAGGGAATCCGGTGTGTAAAATGCTGAATAAGTTGGCGGTTGATTCCGCTATGGCGACCCCTTGATTAATAAAGGCACTACGCCAAAAATGAAATAAATGAATGTGTATAGGCCTACTCTTTTTGGGTGGGCAACACAGACCCTGCCCATGCTTAGAGCCAGCTTAGTGTCAGTATATCTTCCTTTGTGTTCAACTGAAATAAATAGAACAAGTGAATGAGTAGGCTAGTGACAGATTTCTCAATTCTGGGAGAACTATCCCTTTAACTATCCCTCTTTCCCACTGATATTCTCAAAGTTTTGCAGTTATGTAAAGTTGTGTAGGCAAGTTATTCAGCTCTATTCTCTATAGTTGCTGGCATAGCAGATCCAGGAAGTCTCGCCCATTATTCATTCCTTACCTATTAGCATAAACCTGATCAATACCATTGATCGGAGAGCAGACAGCCACAGTATGGCAGTTCTCCTGTTGGTCCACAGAGATCCCAGAATCCCTAAAACAGCAGTTCTAACTCTCTAAGGCCCGCTTCTCTCATTACTTCCCTCTATGGGCGGAGGGAGAGTCGCATTGATATGTGTTTAATTAGAGCTAAAAATACACACTCACTCCAGTCTCCCTCGAGAGCTGACACCGATATATAACTGAATGCATTAAACAACAGCACAAACTTTCACAAACGGCCAATTACTTTTACGCTTGACTGTGTTTTGGAGACCTGGCTTAAGTTACTTTGGCAGGTTTGTCACTTTCTTGTATTATTGTTTCTCCTTCTGTCTTTTTAGGAAGAGAGTTACGGCGTTATGATTACTGTCGAGAATGAAACGGAAGCGTAATAGCTACGTTTATGGACATATAAATGAAAATTAGTATAGCTCAACTTCAATGATGGATGTGACATACAGTATGGAAAAATTAATTGATATTTATCATGAACATCAACAGAGGGCGCTGTTGAAACGTTCAAGTTAAGTGTATAGTGGCCTGGCCATGAACGATTAGCATACCGTATGGAAGACATTGGACGAAAGTTCTCAGGAATCAAGTACAAAGGCGCGTATGTATTATTTACATGTGGTTTTAAGCGTAAAT